AATCTATAAAATCATCCAGCGAAAACTTTATGAGAGCTAGGATTAATTTACACAACGTTTGAAAAATATTTATAAATATGGATGTCTAATAGAGGTCGAATGGAAGTACAAAATGCGGAACTATGTTTAGTAGATATCTATAGGAAGTTACATGGATGTCTAATGGAGGTTTCGAATATCTATGAAGAACGTCTAATGGATGTCTAATAGAGGTTTTTGTTCTGTGTGGGTAATTTTGAACAAAACATTTAATGTAATAACTAATTTTAATTATTGTAAAGCAATAAAGAGGATATATCTTATTTCGACCTTATTTCGATATTATTTATTCATATAGTTCTGTAACTTCATAAGTAAATATTTCTTGAAAGAAGCGTTAGCGAGCATATGTCCAGGGGAAATTTTTTGTTTGTTTTTAGGTCCTGAATTTATATTTTAAGTTTGGCGGTTTAACCCGGGAACACCCTGTATATAAATTTATAATTTCTAAAAATAACAAAAATTACTAATTTTAATTCTGCTTACTTGCTACATTATTGCAGCTTTTTTGTTTACTAAACCTCGCAGACGTGCGCTTTGCAAGTATTGTTTACCTTTTTCTTTATTATTTATTATAACAATGTTTACAATGCATACAATTACATTATAATACACATTAATCCTTCGATATGCACAACTGTCAAAATATACCGAGTATCGATTTAATATGCCTTTTTTTAAATAACAATCAGTCACTAAAAAGTATGTTAAACATGTAGGCTCCTTTCCGTTATTCACTGCAAATAGAAAAACTACAGCATACGTAACGTAAACTACAGATTTTCAGTATTCGTAATGAATAACATAAGTAATATTAATATATAAAAAATAAAAATATAACAAAAACAAAACAAACGCATATTGTGTTTTTATCAATTATATTTAATCGAATAAAGATAATCAATAAGGATTATGAATTTTTAGAAGAAGATATAATATCTATTCTCTTATTAAAAAATGTTGAACAATGACATTACTAAAATGAAATACTAATTGACCTCTAACTAGATTTAACAAAAAAAATGATATTGCATATCGATAATAATAAGCACAAGATGAAGTGTGCGGTCATCTCAAGGAGACACTAACTTAATAATATTCATATCTGCGTATTATCGGTGTTATATATTCCATGTGGCGTACGTGGAGCAGTTAGTCATAAAATCTTGCGCACAGTGTGCGTGTCTCATTGTCAGACAATTTACTAATTAAGTGTTTTCATTTATTAAACAAAAACTTTAAAAACAGTTAAGACAGTTGGTATTATAATAATGTAATTAGCAATTTTACGCTTCTCCTTTCTGACATCATAAACAAATCAATAACAATCAAGTTTAGAAAATATTTTATCAAAACAAAAACTGCAACAACTCTCTAACCAGAAACGTTATCTTCTTGAATAACTAATCCGAAGATTCCTGTCGCGATGGAGCCGTCTACTTTACTCCTGGCTATTTTGACAGCGAGTATTTGCTTATATTATTTTATTTTAAGCAAGTTATCTTATTTTGAGCGATTGAAGATCCCTCATGTGCGACCAATTCCATTGTTCGGTAACATGGCACCTTTTATTTTTCGACGCGAGTGCTTTGCGGATCTCTTACAAAGAATTTACAACCTCTTCCCGGACACAAAATACTTCGGCTTTTATGAATTTCTAACACCGACCTACGTTATCCGTGATCCAGACTTGATTTCCACAATTGCTATCAAACAGTTCGACAACTTCTGTGATCACCGTGGCTTTGCCAACAAAATTCTTGATCCGATAACTAGTCAAAATCTGTTTGAAATGAAAGGAGATCATTGGCGCGAAATGCGAAAGCTTCTTAGTCCCAGTTTCACATCCAGCAAGATGAAGATGATGTTCAGACTTATGTGTCACTGTGCCGAGAACTTCGTCAATTTTGTAGCAACGCAATCCGGAGAAATCAGCAAGACATATGATATAAAAGATCTACTTTGCAGGTACGCCAACGATACGGTGGCCACGTGTGCCTTCGGTATCGACGTGGATTCTTTTAAGTATCCAAAGAATGAATTTTTCGTACTTGGCAGGAAGGCAATGAATTTTGAGGGCATCCTATCCCTCAAGTTCTTAATGAACAGAAGTTTTCCGCTACTTTGCAAACTCCTCAAACTGAGATTATTTGGTCCAGAAGTAGAAATTTTTTTTAGAGACGTTGTTTCTGGCACGGTAAAAGTCAGGGATGAGCAGGGAATTGTTCGCCCGGATATGATTCAGTTGATGATGGAAACCAGGAACAAAGATAGCGGACCTGAAATCAACATTGACTATATGACCGCCCAGGCGTTCGTTTTCTTTGCCGCTGGATTCGATTCTGTTTCAACAGCTATGTGTTTCATGATGCACCACGTCGGTCTCTATCCCGATGTTCAGAGAAAATTGAAAGAAGAAATCGATGATGTTCTCAGACAGACTAACGGCAAACCTACTTTCGAGGCCATTAATTGCATGAAATATTTAAACGCCGTGGTAAACGAGTCTCTCAGACTGTATCCAATAGCACCTTTTCTGGACAGAATATGCGTCAAAGAAACCAAATTACCACCAGCAACTCAAGATGGCGAACCGATCACGATAAAGCCTGGAGATAGTATATGGTTTCCGAGTTTCTCTCTGCATCGTGATCCAAAGTACTATCCACATCCAGAGAAGTTCGATCCAGACAGATTCCTTAATGGCAATGTAGACAACTCGATCTATATGCCATTTGGTATCGGACCCAGAATCTGCATAGGTAATAGGTTCGCCCTAATGGAATCAAAAATCATGCTGTTTTACTTGCTTTGGCGCTGCGATGTCGAACTCGACGTTAAAACTAGAATTCCTATGGTACTGAAGAAATCATTCGCCATGGTGCCGGACGGTGGTTTTTGGTTAAAGTTGCGAGCGAGGAAATCGAAGGCTCCTTTTACACAATGCTTTGTGAATGGACAGAATTGAAGAACAGTAATGAAGCACATTTAAAATTTATTTTAAGTATGAAATTAAATGTAAGTTGACATTTTAAATTATAGCGAGAATCTAATCTTTCCCTCAATTAAATTAATATATACGAAATAAAAGAAAAAGTTTTAAAATGCCATATTTTTTAAATACATGTTGCTTTTTAAAAGAAAAAGCGAGATAAAAATTTATCAAACATACATTTATTTAAAATATTTTGATAAAGTACAGTAATTGCGTAATACTACTAATATATATTAATTTGTTATCTTTATTTACATATAAATCAAAGGAGTTTTATTAGTAGTAATTGATTTTTTGCATTATTTTATACTATTCTTACAGTCCATGTTTTAAAAATCATAAATTGATATTGAATGTTTTAAGTTGGCTAATTTTTTTAATTGTGTGGATCGAAAAATATTATGTACAGCGTATTATTTAATTTAATACGTTACTTCATAAATGATATATACGTATGTAAAAAGAGTGCAATCTCTTTTAGTTAAATCTAATTTTACGATAAATATAAAAATGATAAAGAATCTAATTAAATTTTTAAATATTTTATCATAAATGTTTCAAATTATTAGTTCAAGAAAATAATAAATTCAATGTCTTTTTTAAATACGAAATGATATCTTGTAGAATTATGTAATAAAGCGTATAATACTATTTGAATTAAAGATTGCATAAGACTACTGTAACTAAAAATTACATGATATATTGTATACTGATATGAGTATTATTCTTTAATCGCGTAATCATGAGAAGTATGAAAAATTGAATAACATGCACATTTTTCTATATAATACACTTTTAGTCTTTTTAATGTAATATGTGTACTTAATATAAGTAATTAAGACTCAATTGCATCAATGTTATTTTGATTTTAAGCGAAGATTAAAATCCTCTTTTCCTTTCTTCTTAAGGATATATTATATAATATAAAATATACACACAATATTTAATTTATTTTTATATTATAAATAAAACCTCAAAAAAATGAAGGCAAATCAACGAGTAAATGAAGTTGTAATATAATTATATGATTCTATGGCGGAGAGATCATCAATCCCATGTTGCAGTTTGATCCAAGCCACTTTTTGTTTATCCAAGCCTCATCGTCAGTGCATTGAACATCCAGAACATTACATTGAATTAGAATATTCGTAGATGGCCTGCTGGCAAATCTCAACTTAGTGAATGGTGTTTTCGAAATTAAATGCTCTTTGATTAAATTGCCAAAAGAGTTATAGTTTCATTCTTCTAGAAACTGACTTGAACTCCAATTGACTTCCCTTCCTTCTTTCGTTCCTTTTTCACCTGCTTCTCTCTCCTACCTCTCTTGTCCTATCATCCCTCTCCATTTACTCATCTCTCTCAGTCTTTACTTAACATATATTACAATATGTCATTACGTCATATTATTAAATTTACGTTATATTATTTTAAAAAAATTAACTTATACTTTATTTTACATTATTACTTTATTTTAGATTTATTTCTAGATAAAATCTTAATATATTAATTTGAAAATCTCGACATTAATATATAAAAACGTTTAATATACAATAAAGTAATAAATAAATAAATAACTAATAAATTTTTAATTTGTGATCAGAATAATAGCAATTTTAATTTTGTTACTTGCTACATTACAACTTGTTTGTTTAAATACTATAGACATTATAGACACGCGCTTTGCGCGTGTTGTAATAATGTTCATAGTTATAATAATGCATGCAATTACATTATATTGCACTATTAATACTTCGATAACGCAAAACTGTCAAAATATATACACACAATCGCATACATCGATAACCGCTCATGAAGTAAGCACAGGAAAAGAAATCAATCAGTATCGCCAAAAAGAGTCAACAATAAACTTCGAGATATTTTTAATTTAAGTTTTCGTTTTAACATGCCTTTTTTTAGATAGCAATCAGTTACTAAAAAGTATGTTAAACATAGGCTGCTTTCCGTTATATATTTATTGTAAATACAGAAAAACTACAGTATACTTTACGTGAACTACAGATTTTTAGTACTCGTAGTGAATAACAAAAGCAATCATAATATAATCTAACAAAAACTCTTTTTGATAAAAGAAAAAGTTTACGCCAAGTATATAAAAAAGTATCGTACTATACATTACATCTTTCCTAAACCAAAAATATTATTTTAACAAATAACAGTTGTCCAAAAATAAATTGTCCAAAAACAAATATGAGATCATACAAGTTGCCAAGTATTTGATCGATTAAACATAGAGATAAAAATATTTTTTAATAAATCGCTTAAACCATCCAAAAATGTATACAGCAAAAGTTTAATACCATTATCTTTCCAAATAATTTTAAGTTTTATAAAACAGACTTAAAGTGATTAAAATGACCAATGGGATCATAATGTAGCGCCTCGATAGTGCCAGTGCCATATACTCAGAGGTCATCATTTAACTTTGTTTATACATGGTGTCCCATTTTAATGTCCCACCTCAAATAACTTTTTTATTTTGGTCTTAGAAAAAAATGTTTTAGACAAAAGTTGTATGGCTTTGAGGGGGACATAAGGTAGTGTCATTAATGTGACCTTGAATAGTTGCT